ATTGACTCGCACTATAGGACAGGTCGGGTCGGCAGGTTACTGCTGCGAATAGTAGGCAGCCGAGCTTCTGTTGATACTCCTGGATTTGCTTCGCGGGGAGTTTTGCGGAGGCGCTGTTGTTGTTCCCGTAGCGGTAAGGAGTTGGGACCGCAGTCGGTGTTAGACCGAATTTCTTCGCGACGGTGCCTGAGTACTTTCCAGCGTGTAGGTAGAACGCCGTGTCGTCTTTGACGACATTCAGTCCTAGGTACTGAGTAACTTCGTCGGACACCGTAAGTGTTAAGTCTTCTTTCAACTCCCCTTCGAACCAGGTGGCGATGTCGGTAGTGGAGCCGATGTAGAGCAGGTCGTCGACGTAGACGATGAGTAGGACATACTCTCTTCCCTTCTGCAGTCGGTACATCCCTTGGTCATGCGGCAGTTGTAGGAATCCGATTTTTGCGAGACGGCCGTGAAGGTGCTGCTGCCAGAGCCGCGGGGCTTGCTTGATCCCGTATAGGGATTTTGTCAGTCGGCATACTTTCGTGGGGTCGTCGATGAATCCGTGGGGTTGTTCGACGAAAATCTCAGCGTCCACAGGTGCGTATAGGAACGCATTGGCGACGTCGATTTGGCGTAGTGGTAGTGTCTTCGTGGCCGCGACGGCGAGTAGGATGCGTAATGAGGTGTGACGGGAGACTGGAGCGAAGGTTTCTGTGTAGTCAGTTCCGTATCATTGATCGAAGCCTCGTACGACCCATCGAGCTTTGAATCGTTCGATGGAGCCGTCTGAGTTGGTCTTGATGCGGTACACCCATTTCCCCGAGAGGACGTTCTTCCCGTTGATGCTTGTTGCAGGTACCAGTTTCCATGTTTCTCGGTCTTGCAGAGCCTTTAACTCCTTTTCCATTGCTTCTTTCCATTTTGCCTTATGTTCCCCCCCCAGAGCCTGCGACAAGGTCGAAGGCTCACGCGGAGAAGGCGGCGGCGGATGCTGGACGGAGACCCAGAGGCCGAGAATCTGCAGTCCCGTGGGTGTGTGTCGAGGGGAATTTTCATTCCCGGAATAAGCTGCTTCGTCACCGTCTTCTGGGTCAGGTGAGAAGTGGGGTCCGATGCGTTCTGAAACATTTGTGTCAACTGGGTGGGGTGTACTGTAACCTTGGTCAGCGAAGTGGTAGAAGGTGTCGAGGTTGTTACTATCGAGAGGATTGTCGTCGTCGAGTGGAACAGATACGGAACAGAATGGGAGTGGTCCGGCAGTTTCCGAGGCTCCAGGTACGTCTTCTTCTGCCGCGTCAGCTTCGGCAGCACGATCGGCGAAGGAACGAAGTCCCGAGAAGCCGTCGGTGGGGTCTTGTGTGTTGGCGATGTTGTCCAGGTAATGCTGCAGCGTCAGTCGCTCGTAGAAGATAACATCACGTGATGCCACCGTTTTTTGTCTTGTATGTCGAGAATTTTCCACGCGTGAAAATGTTTGGCGATGCCGAGTGTAGTCCCCACCGAGCTCGTTGTGTGAAGCGTCCTGCTCGGGCTGTGTGGGGTCTGTACTGTACCATGCAGCCGAAAACTCGGAGTAATTTTGTGCTGCCCCTTTTTCTTGTCCACAAGAGGTGCGGTGATGCGTTGTTGGGAAGTGATGACGAGGACAACAGGTTGTGCAGGTGAACTGCATGTGTCATCGCGTCTGGCCACAGTGTGGTGGGCAGCCTCATCCCCAGAAGCAGTTTTCGCATTGTCGTCTGCAAGGTCCGATTCATGCGTTCTGCGACCCCCTGCTATTGGTGAGCATAGGGCAGGGACACCAGGCGTCTGATTCCTCTTTCCGCCAGATAGGTCCTGAAGCGTTGTGACTGGTATTCCAGTGCACCGTCTGACTGGAAGCTCTTGAGTTTGAGTCCCGATTCTCGTTCGGCGATGGGAAGCCATGTTGTGAAGGCTTCGAAAGCTTGATCGCGCGTCTTGAGATTGAAGTGCCAGACGTATCTGGTTGCTGCGTCGATGAACGTGATGACGTAGTTGAAGTCGGCTTCGGTGTCTTCTCGAGGCATGTTTAAAATATCGCTGTAAACTTTTTCCATCGGAGCGTATGTAGGTGCGCTTGGGTTGTGATGGGATGAGAAAGGCTGATGAGGAAGATCTGCTTCGGGGCACGTGAAGCACCGTGCTTGTGGTCGTCGAAGTTCTTGGCCGTTCGTCGTTAGTAGGGCGTTGCGTTCTAACACTTCTGCCTGGATGGTTTGTAGTATCGTGCTGTTTGCAGGGTGCCCGAGGCGTTGGTGCCATATGTCGTCGGAAGCGCGATGACCGGGTGAGCGGTGGTATATGTCGGCGCTGGAGAAGAACGCGACGACTGTGGCGGGACTGCGACAGGCTTCTCGTGTGACAGGCATAAGCTGGTCTGCTTCGGTTGGCGGTCCTCGGATCGCTGGTGGTGGGACTCGGCTGGGTCCTGCTGCTGGTACTGCAGGTGATGGTTTGGTTGGGATACTTGCGGGTACTTGTCTTTCTTGTCTGATGACTGCTAATGCCCGTGTTCTTTCTGCTGCAGGTATGGTGTTGGAGTGCCAGAATCCGTCACTGTCGAAGTCGGGATCAAGATCCGGCGGGTGTGTCCATGCGGCGAACGATACGATGCCGTCGCTGTCGGCAGTGCCGCGGTCGGGGACGAAGTCCAACACGAAGACGCCGGACTTCAGGAGGGCACGGCCTATGAAGAGACCGCCCTTCCCGTGGTAAAGTCGAAACTCGTTGGAGTAAGAGTCGCACTCCAGGTGAATCCCCTTGGCCATTAGTTGGCTTACGCTTAGTAGGTTGTATCCCAGGTTGTCGACAATGAGGACTTTGTTGAGCTGAAGTATGACGTTCGTCTCCATGGATTGTAACTGAACCACGCCTTGTCTGTTTGTCTTCAGGTTTTCGTTGTTGGCGACGGTGATGATGACGTCGCGGTTGAGGCGTTTCTCCTGTTGCACGAAGCGTCCCGAAGAGCACATGTGTTGACCGCAGCAGCTGTCCAAGAACCAGGTGTTTCGCCCGGTGGGTTCGGCGTTGGCGACCGCAGCATATGTTGGATTGACTTGAAGTCCTTGTGAGCGCGGTGGTGGGAGCTCCTCTTCATCTGGCGCGTAAGTTGGTGGTGATCCTGGTGTGCAGTTGTCGATGTGTACCATGCAGTTAATAATGTTTGGTGTATGTTGTGCAGATGTTGAAGAGCGCCTTGGCGGACTTTCTTGAGTGGAAGCGACTTGTGGGTCTGCTGGACGGTAAACGCGAGGGCGGTTGCAGTTGATCTTGGAGTGTCCGGAAGTCTGGCAGTTGTGGCAGAACGGCGGCACGAAGGTGAGTCCCCTGTTGTCGCGTTCTTGCTTGCCGCGTCGATTGTAGTTGTTGTCGTTCCTTCGTTGAGTGTAGAAGACTAACTGCTGCTGCTTCCTTGGTTGTCTTTCTTCGAACAGGTCCATCTCCTGTTGTTCAGCGTGAAGCTCGGCGCAGAGGTGCATCTCCGAAATCCTTCCGTGGGAGCGAAGAAGCGATCGTGTGGTTCTCCATTCTGGCCCGAGCCTGGCGAGGACAAGTGTCACGAAGCTTTCTTCAGTGATTGTTCCTCCGCACCGAAGCAGGCGGTCGCGGAGGGTCTGGCAGCGACTCATATACTGCATCGCCTTTTCCCCGGTCTTCATTTGTATTGTTGTCAGTTGTTGCATAAGTCTGCTTTGTGTCACGCTGTCGTTTGCTTGGTAGAGGCACTTGAGATGATGCCATGCGAGCTCCGCGGAGTTTCCATAGCTCCTGTATGTTCTGATGCTCTGCTGCTCTTGTGGTGACAGGTTTCTCAGGAGAACCGTATACGCCAGAAGCGACTGATACGTGAAGATTTCCTGTTCCTTTCCAGTGCCGTTGCTTGGGAATGGCAGGGACCCGTTGAAGTATCCCAGAAGATGCGCAGCCTCCATCAGCAGCTCGAACTCGAAGCTCCAGGTAAAGAAGTCGTGTCCGTTGAACGGTGAGGATGTCTGCAGTTTAATTACGTGTGAAAACTGCGCCTGGAGACTTAGAATCTCGTTTGGTGTTTGTTGTGATGCAGCTGCTGTTGGTTGGGCACGGGGCGGCATGAACTCGAACGTCCCCGGTGAAGAGTAATAAGGCGCAAAGGTAGGCGCTTGATTGTGTCGCCCAAACGATGAGTTGTCGAGGCTCATCGGTGCTAATCTCATGTTTCCTCCATTGCTCTGTGTCGAATGCGCAGGTGTCCTTGTCTGCTGCTGCTGGTCGAAGTGCGACATGAAGCTGAAGAATCTTTCCATAAGGTTGGGATCCACGCTTGAAGAGGGAGATGGAGTTACCATCTCTGGTACCCTTGCTGTTGTTTCTTGAGCAGTCCCGGTCTCTGTCTGCAGTCCTGAGGTGTGCAGATCAGAGTTGCCGTGTTGAGTTTCTTGGCCGCTGGGTGAGCCCGTAGAGACTTTCTTGCCCTTGCTGTCCATGTCTTGTAATCAATGAAGTTGTTGAATTTGAGTTGTGTTGCAGTTTGTTGATGAAGCGCAGTTGCTGGGAGTTTGGTCTCTGACCAGCTCTCATACCATGTTGGGCTGATAAAAGCCCTTGGGATCCTTTTCAGAGACTAAGTCCCAGCTGTAGAGACTTGAGACTTTGAGTAGTGCAGCGGAAGTTTTGAAACAGTTGAACCCTTGTACTAGTATGTGAGAACAAGTGATTGATTAAAGAAACAAGCATACAGAATTATATAGAAAGTAGGAAGGTAAAGCAGTTGTAGAATACAGTTGCAGGAGCGGTTTATCGAGTCGCACAGCGACTCGATTGTCGTTTCGGTTACCATCCTCGCTGTTGTAACGGTCAGTCGCAACCTCCAGTTGCGACCCTTCGAGTCCCTTCGCGTTCTTTGTCCGCCCCCTCGTGTAACTTCCGTTGACTCGCGTACCCGTTGCGATCTTCCTCGAGTGTAGTGTTACACTTCAGAAACGCTTAAGTCCTCTGAGATATTTCCAACACCTTTGCTATAATCGATCAATTGTTCTCACATACCAGTACAAGGGTTCAACTCAAGACTTCCACTAAGCTATCAAGCACTGTGTAACAAGGACTTCGCCTTCTGAAAAGATACTTGGGCTATTCTCAGCCCAACACCCCTATATCACCCTGTATGCCTTCCTAGAGTTCACTTAGCTATTCTGACACTCTCCTGCGTTTACACACTCAGCGCTTCCTTCGTTCTCACCCTCTCGTGCCCTTAGCCCTTAGCCTTTCTCCTCTCCTGCATTCAACCAAGCACCTTCCCCATCCACTCGAAAATCCATTCCGGTCTTCATTCCGGTCTCCATTCCGGTCTCCATTCCGGTCTCCATTCCGGTCTCCATTCCGGTCTCCATTCCGGTCTCCATTCCGGTCTCCATTCCGGTCTCCATTCCGGTCTCCATTCCGGTCTCCATTCCGGTCTCCATTCCGGTCTCCATTCCGGTATCCATTTCGGCATTCAACCCTTTCTCTTTCCGCTCTCCAGGAGTCAAATCCGTGCTCGCCTCACCCTCCTCCTCTATCGCTTCCCCACTGCCCGCATCCCTTCCCGCCTCCACCGTTCCGCCCAAGCCCCCCTCTTTCTCTTCCTCCCCTCTCTCCCCCCTTAAATTCCCCCCTCCATTTTCCCCTCCATTTTCCCCTCCATTTTCCCCTCCATTTTCCCCTCCATTTTCCCCTCCATTTTCCCCTCCATTTTCCCCTCCATTTTCCCCTCCTCCCCACACCATCCCCCATGCCGCATCCGCCAACCCCTCAAACCCCGGCCAACCCGCCTCTCCCTTCCCCACCTCCTTCCCCTCCTCCCCGTCGTTCCCCTCTCCCCCACCCCACCACCCCGCCCCCAACCCCCAGTTACCACCACCGCCAAATGCAACAAACCCACCAAACCCACTTGTCCCAGTCCCACCTCCCCCTGCTGCCCCCTCTGCCAGCTTGTGGATTCCAAGGGGCGGCACAGCAGGTGTGTACCGGGGGAGGCAGTGCTTGGCGTGTTTCATCCGAGAGTCCATCACTGGCTTGGGGGTAGCCGGAGGCCGCCAGAACTCCCTGGAAGCTGAATACACCGCCACCGCTGCTCGGATGGATTCCCCGGGGGAGACAGGAGCCGCCACCGCCGCTGCTGCTGCTGACAGAAGCGTGCCTTCGGTCCTGACCCTCACGCTCTTCGGCCGCACGCTCTGCTCCTTGGGACTGCTGCTGCTTGCATTCCCGCAGTTGGTGGTGCTGTGCTGGAGAGCCGTCTCCTGGAGGGCCGACTCTTGGAGAGCCGTCTCCTGGTGGTGCTCCAGCAGAGCTCGTTCCTCAAAGGAGAGCAGGGAGCGGGAGATGCGCAGGGAGCGCGGCAGCGAGCGCTTGGTCCAGTGGGGCAGGCCTGGGAGAAAGAGGCCGGAGGGGGGATGGGAGGATGGGGAGGAGGGAGCGCGTAGAGTATGAGGAGTGGGTGGCTGGGAGAAGGAAGAGGAACCTCCCCCCCCTCCCATCATGAGCATCATGTCCGCTCCTCCCATGCTCTCATGCCATCGCCTCAACCGGGCGTCCAACGACTCCCCCCCTTCCTTCTCCACTCCCTCCCCTTCTGCAGCTTCTGCTGTTTCCGCTGCTGCTGCTGCTGCAGCTACTGAGCCTGCTGCTGCTGCTGGTTGCTCTCCCAAGACGTGCCTGTGCACAAGGCGATATGGCATAGGGGACGACAGGCCCTCGAGGCCAGGGCAGCTGGAGGTGCGGTGGAACCTTCGAGAAGCACCTGCCAGCGGCGGTGCTACTCTTCTTGGTGGCAGCTTGGGGGCAGGTGAGAGGGCAGGAGAGAGAGCCCCTCTACCTGCTGTGGCTGCTGCAGCAGCAACAGAAGCGGAATCACTGTTTGCTACTGATGTTTCCTCTGCTGCTGCTTCTGTCGCTGCTGCTGCCGCTGCTGCCGCTGCTGCCGCTGCTGCTGCTGCTGCTGCGGTGTACGCCTCGAGTCTTTCAGTAGTGGCCGACCGTCTGATCAAACCCGTGGTCGAGTGTTGACCCATGCTGAGGTGTGACGAGAGGATGATGGGCACAGGGGAGATGTCACATGAGCTCAGGATCCGCTGGCACACCATGGCGGAACTGCCCACACTATTACGACTGAGCAACGACCGCCCAAACGAGCGCTCTGACACCACGCTAGTGCTCCTGCGGTGTAATGACCTCCTGGTGTTGCCATATTCAGGGGACATGGCTCCTCTGCTCCTGCTGCTGTACCCATCCCTGACGCTACAGCCGTCCCTCATGCTACAGCCGTCCCTGCTGCTACAGCCATCCCCACTGGAAGTGTCCTCCCCAAGGGCGATGAGGGAGGGATCGTCTCCATACACAAAGCCAGCAAGGGATGCGTTACAGTCACCTTCGTTATAAGCATATCCACCGAAACCACCCTCATAACGAAAGTAGCTGTCCCTGCCACCACCACTCTCATTATAGGAATAATCATCCTCATAACCGCCGTCGCCGTCCTCATTATAAGCGAACCCGTTTTGGAGGTGAGGGGAGTCACCGGGATGAGACGAGAAGGTGTGGGTGGAGTCAACCCATGGACTCAATACATGTGCTTTCTGTTCCACACCCATATGCTGCTCCACTGCCATTTGGTGCTCCACTGCCATATGGTGCTCCCGAGTGCTATCTTCCAGCTCCTTTTCCTTTTGATCACTGGCTGCTTGTCTTCCTGCTGTTCCTGCTACGATGGAAGCTGTCGTGGTTAATGCATCATCAGCATCAGCAGCAGCAGCAGCAGCAGCAGCATCGGCATTGGCAGCAGCAGCATCGGCAGCTGGGGTTTGGAGTGCGAGGGAGGCAGCGAGAATGCATCCGAGAGCATACCCTGCCTTCACAGGCAACGGCTGATACGCCAACTGCTCTCCAGTCACTGCAAGACCAGCAGCAGCAAGCCCAGCCTTCACAGGCAACGGTTGACACGGTAACCCGTTGTTGCTGCTCCCGCCGAGAGAGGTGGCCGGCTTACTACGAGCTTCGTAAACTGGAGATATGTCTGCAGGACTGCCAGCAGAAGCAGAAGAGGGCGTTGAACCTAGTGCCAAAAGGAAGGCGTCCACTGCGGAGGGGGAGGCGTTAACTGGGGAAGGGGAGGTGTTTACTGGGGAAGGACAGGGCGGAGTGAGGCACATGAGAGGGCCCAGCTGAGCTGCTGCCTTGGCCCTGGTCGCCTCATACCCGGCGTCATGCACCCGACCTCTCAACACCTCGTGCCCGTTGTCATCCATCCGACCAGTCTGTGCCTCATACCCGTCCTCTTGATTCTGTGCAGCTGATGCAGCAAGTTTTCTCTGCCCCGTAGCCTGTTTCACCTGTTCTGCTGCCACCTGTCCTGCTGCCACCTGTCCTGCTGCCACCTGTCCTGCTGCCACCTGTCCTGCTGCCACCTGTCCTGCTGCCACCTGTCTAAGGCTCTCCTGCAGTTTCTGTGGCAGCTTCAGCTGTAGCTCCGCCTCTTCTCTCTCCTCTCTCTGCTGCTGCTGCTGCTGCTGCTGCTGCTGCTGCTGCTGCTGATTATCCCACGCTGCAGCAACAGAGATGGCACCAGAGGAGGTACGAGTTAGCTCGCGTCCCTGTGCTGCCTGGTCCAAGGCGGCTCTTGCTCTCTGCCTCGCCACAAACGCGGCTGAATGGCTGGGCGACTCAGATGGGGCAGGTGATTGGCCAGGAGACATCTGACGGGCCCTTAAAGTCGACGCAGAAGTCGACACAGGTGTCGACACAGATGTCGACACGGACGTCACCTTACGCCCTGACCGGTCAGCGGGGACCCTGGGGCTCTTGGGAGGGAGCCGGGGCACCGGCCTGGGTTGGTCCCTCTGCGGCCCTAGGGCTGATCCCTCCCATCCCTCCAATCCCTGTGGTTCCTGCGATAGTTGCACATCGTTTGAGTGCCCGTAAGCCCGCTGGTGCTGGTCAGAATCAAGCAAATCGTTTGAGGAGCCATAGGCCCGCCGTAGCATCAGCAGAGAGCGGCTCCTGCTGTCACTACGAAAGGACGTGGGAGACATGTGATGCGCGGATGAAGAGGACAATCCCCGGTCCCCCTCCACGTGATGATGCATGGATGAGGGAGAGGGGAGCGGTTGGGACGTGTGTGTGGGGGTCATGGCTTGAGATAACCTCCTGCTGCTGCTGCCATGGCTGCTGATGCTGGTGGTGTCGCTGCACCCAATGCTGCTGCTGCTGACATCCCCACTGCTGCCACCTCTAATATGGACACTCCTGCTGCTGCTGCAGACGCTGCTGGGGCCCCTGTTGGAATACATCGGTCCAGGATACACGGGAGCGGCGTTCACTGGGCTCCCATAGGCTACTTGGGGTGGCGTTGGGGAGGCGTCGCCCATGGAGTGCCCGACAGCGGTACTATAAGGGGCTACATACGAGGCACCGAACGGGCTGGCTGTTGCGTCGTGGCGAGATCGCTCGGTGTTGTCGGAAAGAGCGCGCTTGAATCGGGACAGGACGTCAGTGTCGTTGTCGAAGAGAGGGATGCTGCTGTCGCAGTAAACATTGTCAGGGTGGATGCTCGAGATAAAACCGTTTGAGAGCTCAAACTCCGCCTCTCCTCCGTTGCCAAAGCCAACGCCATCACAAGCATCAGCATCAGCATCAGCATCAGCACAGCCATAACCACTCTCAAACTCCCCATCAGCACCAATCAGAGCCTTGTCGTGCTCCTCCACTTCCTCCTCTTCCTCCTCTTCCTCCACTTCCTCCTCTTCCTCCTCTTCCCCCTCTTCCCCCTCTTCCTCCTCTTCCTCCTCTTCCTCCTCTTCACTCACGTCGATGCACAGTCCCTTCATCCTCCTCCCTGCAGCCTTGCTGCCAACTGGAGCACCCGACGCAGCAGCAGAAGCACCAGCAGCAGCAGCAGCTGGGGCTAAGGAACGGGAATGAAGCACAGGCTGCGGCACATGCTTGCTCTTGTCCGTCTCGACCCGTGGGCTCTTCTCGCTCTTGTCGCTGTTCTCACTGCTCTGGCCTTTCTGGTCCTTGCCCCTGCTCTTCCCGAACAGCTTCAGAACTGCTGTCAGCATGCCCCTCTTGCTGCCGCTCTTCTCACTCGCTTCACTCTTTCCGCTCTTCCCGCTCTTCTCACCACCAGCCTGCTTCGGTGTAGCTCTGGTGTTGCCGACACTAGCCGCAGCTGCTTCCCTTGGATTTGCAGCAGCAGCAGCAGCAGCAGGCAGAGCACTGCCACTAGTACCAGCAGCAGCAGCAGCACCACCACCACCACCACAAAAAGCAACCCCAGTCCCTCCCCTCCGCACACTCCCCTCACCAGAACCTGACCGAAAGCTCGGAACCAGCCCACTGCTCCCTTTAGGAGTGTCAACAGGCACATCCGCCCGCCCCCTTGGAGTCATCAAACCCAGCTCGTTTCGATACCTCGGGGTTTTGGGGAGCTCGGAACGGGCTTTCGGCGTCTTTGGAAACTCGCTGCGTGATTTGGGCGTCTTGGGAAACTCGCTGCTCGGTTTGGGCGTTATGGGCGTTGTGGGCGTTTTGGGCGTTTTGGGCGCTTTGGGAGTTTTGGGAGTTTTGGGCGTTTTGGGCGTTTTGGGCGTTTTGGGCGTTTTGGGCGGTTCAGCATGTCCCCTTGAGGCTCCGGGCAGGTCGACGCCTCCGTTCAGAGTCTCGGGCAGATCCGAACGTCCATTCGGCGTTTTGGGCAGATCAGAACGTCGTTTCGGCATCTTGGGCAGCCCGGCCCGCTCTTTCGGAGTATCGGGCAGGTCCGGGGGAAACATTTTAACCCGAGCCTCCCGTTCGGTCAGAGCAGAGACCGACCGGCGGAAATCATACCTCCCCCCTCTCCCAGTAGGAGTGGGGGTCGTATAAAGAGAGTGAGCAGGAGATGATATTCCAGGAGGGGGCTTTAAGGGAGGATACGCAGAGCCAGGCGAGGAGGAGGAGGGGATTCTAGACAGAGGGGTTAAGGGAGAGGCGTGTAGGAGAGGTGGAGGAGTCAGGGTACCCAGGGAAGGCGTTCGGGTCATTCGTCGGCTGCTGCTGCTGCTGCCGCTGCCGCTGAACATGCTGGAATGCACGCCACCAGAAGCATCAGGAGCACCAACGCCGGAGCTGTTTTCATACCAGCTGACGCCGAAGCAACCGCCAGCGATGGTGGTGTGCGAGCGGCTGTGCCTGGCTCTCCGCACAGGCTCTTGAATCGCCTCATAAACTGGCTCTTGATCTGGAATCGTCTCAGCAGACGCGGAAGCATGGATTCCACGAGTGCTGCTGGGCACAGCAGCCATGCCGGCTTGGGAAGATAAGGGAGAGGAGGAGGAGAAATCAGCGGACGAGAAGGGAGAAGAGGAGATATCACGCAGCAAGCGGCGAGGAGTGAGAGGCGGCAGAGGAGGCGGCGGCAGGGGGGAAGGGGTGAGAGGCTGGCGCAGGAAAGAGGAGCGTTTGAAAGGGGAAGGGGTGAGAGGCTCCCGCAGAAGGGAGGAGGAACGGGTCATGGGGGAAGGGGAGTCCAGCAGTATGCCGGTGGGGATCTCGAGAGCGTGAGAAGAAGACGATCGCCAGTGCCGAGTGAGCTTCCTCCCCTCTGGCTGCTGCTGCCTCCCCTGCTGCTGCGGCTGTTGCTGCTGCTGCTGCTGCTGCTGCTGCGGTTGTTGCTGCTGCCGCTGCTGCTGCCATTTCTCTTTCAGACGGGCCAACCCTCCCTGCTGCTGCTGCTGCTGCTGCTGCTGCTGCTGCTGCTGCTCGTTAAGGCGGTCTGCGTCTTCCTCCTCTTCTCCTCTCCCCCAATCTCCTCTCTCATCCTCACCGTCCGTTTCATCCGGTTGATCGTCGATTCGAATCCGGATGTCCTTTTTTCTCATGCCAAACCTGCCCGGATCCGAACCTGACCTTCGGAACCCGCCTTGCTTCCGAGCCTGCTGGCCCGCACGCTCGGCAGCAGCAGCAGCAGCAGGTTCGGAGCCAGGTTCGGCGAAGGGCACCCGGGCGAATTCAGCAATAGCGTTGGAGAGAGCGGCGGAGGCAGTTCGCTCTGCAAGCTGCCTCAAAGCCTGCAGTGATATGCCCTCCCTGGGGATGCTGCTGCTGCTACTGCTGCTGCTGGTACTGCTGCTGCTGGTGGTGCCCTGGCAGTGTTTCCAGGCAGCATGGGCGGCGTTGATAACAGCCATGGTGCGATGCAAGGGGACTGGCTTCTGGCGGAAGGCGATGGTGCTGGGCAGATCGACTGGGGGGGAGGGGTTCGGGAGGGGGGGGGGGGGGGGGAGAGGAGGAGGAATGATGAGAAGGTAAGAAAGGGGGGAGAGAGTAGAAGGGGAGACGCCAAAAGAACGGGTGGGGATTATAAGCAGGGGGAGTGAGGCCACGAGTGCAAACTGCATAACAACAGTAGAGGTTTGACATTATTTAAAAAATTACCCGGAAATCCGAGGAAAAGAGAGGGTGGTGCACTTACAGACGGTGTTACACTTGTAGTACTTGAGCCACTCCACGATTTCGCCCAGCTTCGTCTCCAACCAAACCGGGTTACCAGCTCGCGAGTCCTGAAGCATCTCAGCCGTCGGATACGACGAATTAACGGCCACGATCTTCCAGGAGGACTTGAGATCTGGATCGACGACGAGGAACGCGAGTAGAGGCTTCACCGGATACACCTCCCCCACTCGAGCCTCGCCCCGCCCAATCTCGATCACCTCTAACGCCGCGTGCTTGTCGCATGCCTTATCGCATGCCTTGTCGCCTGTTCTGTCGCACGTGTTCGCGCATGTCGCCGTGTTGCCTGCCTTGTCGCCTGACTTGTCGCACAGCTCATCGCCAGATCCAGTCTGCGAATCGCCTCCAACCTCGTCGCCGTGGCGGCAGGAGCACGTCTGCGGCAAAACCCCGAGGTTCCACTTGAGATTGTGACTGTAATGAGCGGGCAAGCCGTCGACTTGGCGCACGCGAAGAGGGTGATACGTCTCGTCATAAGCAGCCTCGATCTGCACCCAGGAGTTACGCGGCGTGCAGCAGACCATCCGAATGCTCTCGCCCGCCATAAGCCCGTCCAGATCCGCCGTTTCGATGCGAAAATCATCCCCTCGATTCAAACTCGAGCCTTGAAAGCCTCGGCTCGCGAAGCCGCCAATACCACTAGTAGTAGTGCTAGTAGTAGCACGAATCGGAACGTCGTTCCACACAGAAAGAGGGTGGAGAACGGTAGTATCCTCCTGCTGCTCTCGTCGCGCAGCGGCGGGAGTGACGAAATAAGTGGAAATACCCGCGGATAACTCGTCAAGCGCGGAGGCGAGGGGTAACCCAGCGGCGGCGGGAGGGTCCGACAGGAGAAAGCCCCGGTACAGCACCGATCCGGGGAGGCCGAGCTCGATATAGTCACAGTCCGCGCGAGAACCGGCGGCCTCCATTATCGAGGCCTCTAACTAATGAGAGCACGAGATGATGCTTGGGCTAGGATCAAATGCTTCTCAGAAAGAACAGAAACGCGAGTGGTTCCGACTCCTCAGGACGGCTGCGAATCTGGCGGAATATGATGAAGCGTCTGGTCTGGTACCACGGTACTAGTACTGCTACTGCGATCAATTCGTGCTGGGGGGCACTGACATTCCGAAATGAGACCCTTGAAAGGCGTCTAGTTTTGAGGCGCCTCAAAACTGGGCTCTGACGTTTCTGAAATGAGACCCTCGAAAGTTGACTTTTGAGTCGACTCAAAAGTCACCGCGAATACTACTATTGCTGGAAGGGAATGCTCGGAGTCGGAGTGAATGATTGCAAGCGACTTCTGTGCTGCTGGTCGTTCAGCCGTGCGAAAACGAATGCGACCGTTGCAATCAGGAGGCCTAAACCGGTTATTTCGCCTCCCTCCCTCTGCCGCAAGCGACCAAACTGATGCTTGAAATTGGCCGTTCTATGACCCGGACATTTTCGACCCATCGTAAAAGAAAAGGGGGGGACTCGCGTCGCGCCCAACGGAGGGACTGCTGGTCGCAGTCTTTCGTTCCGGATTCTACGCTCACGACAAACATCTTGAACGACCAATCTAGTCAACGCCTCGAGCGGCTTGTCAGTCCGTCGGTAGGTCGTTACTAAGGATTAGTATTCGTGGAGCGACGCTGCTAGGAGACCGCGCGTGTGACATGCGGGATGCCCTGGTTCTCGGATTCCTGAATCCTGACGCAAAAATAAAGCACAGCGGATTCAATCCGTGCACAGCACAAACACAAGCCCTTGCACTCTCCACTCCACTGGATGGCATCGCTGATGGGCAATCGCCAGCCAGTGGACATCAGCCAGCCTGGCGTAGCGTCATCACTGATGGGCGATTGACAGCCAGTAGCCGTCGGCCAACCTGGCGCAAGGCCATGGATGTGCGACGCACTGATCGCCCGGTCGGTCGGTACGTAGTCGTTCATTCTGTCAGGAGTCCCGATCCCACTCCCTATCTGTCCACATCTCTCACTCCTCTCCTCCTCGAATTCTCGGATCTTTCGCTCTGGATCACCGACGACAGATACCTGTACCAGGGCATATGTTATCAGGGCATTTCCCCTGACTTGACTGAAATTCTAAGGTAGTTTTCAGACCAGCCCTGATTGTTTCCGGGTTCTTTTCCACCCAGCCCTGACAGAATCCGGAAAATTTTCAAGGCGACCCTGGAAACTCCGAGACGATTTTCTGGTAACCCTGATTTTTTTCACTACCTCTATTTCCCCCTTCCGGTGTCCCCTCCCTAGAATACAAGTTTCTCCTGCTCTCCTAACACACCCCCCTCCTAGTACCCAACCACAGACCGTGGAAGAACCTTAAGTACGATCCTTGAAAATATATGCCCTCCGAGCATTTATTCTGATGGCCCTGAAAAAGCAGGACAGGGCAGATTTAGACCCTGGATTTTTAGGGTGAATTTTTAAGGGAGCCCTGAGCGCCAGAGTTGTTCAAAAACCTTACATAAGTCCTGACCTGTACACAGGGCCTGTATCTGCGTCTCTTCCAGCCATAGTCTGTTTCGCACAAGTCCACAGGATCTGTCCATGCGACGCTTGAGGGCGGACGAAACAGCGACGAGCCGCCGCGTAGTAAAACGACAACGCGACTGACCGCGATACACGACGTGTATGTGCGTCAACGAATTTGTATTGTCGCACGACATTGGCGGTTCGGAACCAGGGCTTACCTTAGGGTTTTCGTCCGCACGGCAGATCCGGGTATCTCTCTCGAGGAATCCAGATAAAAAGGGTTTTTCTGGAACGTTACCCGTCAATGTCCGGGATCAGTCCCGAATTTTTTTTCCGTGATGACAAACGCTCTTATGAAAAGTTTCTAGATTCTACAAAGGGAACCACGTAAGAGTACTGCGCTCAGCTCTTATACTTCTGCTTCTTGAACTTCCTTGCTAGGGCTGATGTGCCCTGGGGGGAAGGGAATGGCGGGGGGATATGTGGGGTGGTGTGAGAAGGTTTAGTATCGGTGTTTCTCAAAACCGAACATGTCACGTCACGTGTTCTGGTCAAAATGTACCCGTCAAATCAGGGTTCATGAAAATCGAACACGTCGCAATCCGATTTTGGTCGAAAACTCACCCGTTATTTGGTCATAATTCTAATAATTACCCTAAAAATAAGCCCTGTTCGGAACAGATACTATGCCACAGTGCGTGTCGGCTTCTACGGTCTGGTGTCCTGCCAAGCCGCGTTGACCGTTAGCAAAGTGTTTTCTTGAACAGAAATGGTATCCCGAGGCGTAGTGTAGCCACGAACTCCCGAGAATTGTATCGCGAGCGGGGAAAGTTGACAAATAGCAAGCAGCCGCCTTTAGAATCCTGATGCTATGAGAGGTTCAGAGGGAGGAGATATGTGGTGGATACTGTAAGAACGGATGGGAGGGAAGGTAGGAATAAACATCGAGGGAAGGGAACGGTTTGGTTTTCGGTTTAAATTGTTTCCTCTTTCAGCACGGAGGAAGGTTGGTTTATCCAACCAGCGGCTAATCGCCTTCAAGAAACACCAATGGTCTCAGATCTGATGCTCCTGCTCTGCATGTGCCATCCAGGATTCCTAAAAGTCCGCATATCCAGGAATTAGCTGGAAGTTCGAACTTTTTGAGTTGTACACGATTGTGTGTGTTTTACAGGCTTTAGATACGGTAGATCAGGGGTGACGTTCGATTTTTTGCATCTACCGTCGAAAGCATAGTGCCGCGAGGAAGCGAGGAATCCTGCCCTCCTACATTCGCTGTGTTGCCTCTAGGCGACAAATGCGTGTCGGCAGGCGACTGTGGGTAGAATCAAGGAGCCCACATTTGATCGTCGAACTGTCGCATGCTCCAGACAGCAGTGCACCAGCCAACCATTCAACGCTAGCAAACGAAACGGGATCCGCCAGCATACGTATCGCACTGTTCCCCACCCCACACATCAGAGAGCGTCTGTCGCTGACGAATGAAAACAATCGGCCAATCAAGCAGCTCGTATCCGATCGTTCATCCGTCGCATGCCACACACAAATCTAGGTCGGAGACAGCTGATGCTCGCAAATGTCAGCGTCGCACCAGACGAAAGGACTTCCAGGCTTTGATCGCCTCACTGCCACACACCAAACCACCACTTGCACGAGAAGTAAAACTGTGGGAGCTGTGGGCTGGGGGGGTGAGGGAGTGTTGCCGAAAAAAATAGATGATGCTCATTTGTGGGGCTGTCGCAGACAGCTGATGAGCACCAATTCAAAAGTAGACAGTAGATGGTCGCTGTGATTCTCCAACGGTGTAACCGTCTAATTCATAAGTGGATAAATCAACTACATTCCGAAAAATAAATCACCATCAATAACATAGCTACAAAGAACACTCTGCGAGGATCTATCCGCTTTCCAATCTCTGATTAGGAGCAGGCCATGTTCCATTCCCACACTTCCTATGAAAAACGCACACTTCCTTATCATCCCCTAGCAACGGAGACTGCACGAACCCTTGATGACAAAACCCTGCCAAAAGCAATTTCCTCCCATATCGACACAATCCTCCCTTCACTCTCTCCCTCAATCCCTCCGCTGCCTCAGTCACACCGCCCCGCGCCTTCCCAGCGATTTCCCTTGCTAGCTTAAGCGCATGGCCCATTTCTTTCAAGTCTAATTGGGAGAGCTCAACCGGGCGCTCATGCACACGGTAATATTTACAGGTGGAGTTCCGGTCACAATCCCGGGCAGAGAAAAGCTTGAATTCTTCGTCGCGGGGCAGCGTTCGGGCAGCATGACATTGGTGCTGGATGTAGGTGGCTCCACTGGCTACTGCCATGATCTGGTAGAGGGTCGGCTGCGTGCCGAAGGGGACTATCTCCACCACCACTGCTCCTGGCAGAGGCTTCAGTAGAGGCGATGAGAAGGGGGTATCAGAGATTTGAGATGAGATGGGACTGACAATGCCCAAGCTGCTGCTGCTGCTGCTAGTAGTGCTGGTGCTGCTGTTACCACTCCCTCCACCAGCACTGTTGCTCAGGTCACCTCCATTAACTGCCAGCGTTTCGTTTCCAAGCACAACTGGTGCAACGCCCCTCAGAAACGCACATGTAGGCGCCAGAGCCGCGCCATGCACAGCCACTATCACATCCGCCCTCCTCACTGCCATGTACTGCTCCTTAAAGCCCAGCCGCCCGAGGTCCGCTGCCTGCACGTCGAAATTCAGGTGGGAAAAGAGGTTCACCAGCGCCACGTGGGACGTGTGGTCCAGCGCTCGCCGCCCCTGATTGGCTGAAGCTGTTCTCTGGAGATACAGCAGGCGGATCTTCTCACTAAATGGAGCCGCCCCTGCTGGCTCAAGCTTCAGGCTCGCTGCTCCTGCTCCCGTTCTCCCCCTGTCCCATGCACTCCATCTTCCTCCCCCGGAACTCCCCCCCTGTCCATCTCCCCTTCTCTCCTCACCCTGCCCTCCCCCGCCTAGCCCTCCCCCGCCCTGCGCCCCCTCTCCCTGCCCTCCCTCCTTCCCTCCCACTCCCCCGCTCCCCATCCACCGGTCAATCCGCTCCAGAAACGCCGCCTGAACCTCCTGCCCTCCGGGGTAGAGTATCGCAGCAAGATTCCCTGGGAGGACCACGTTCTCAAAACACAGTGGCTGGGCTTCGGAGGCCTTGTCCCACACGTGCTCCAACTCCACTCTGCCCCCAGCCAGGCTCGTGGTTTTTAGGTCTAGCAGCAGGCTACGGTTTAACACCCTTTCCACTAGTTCCCTCTCCCATTCCTCCTGTTTCCTCTCACTAACGCCACTGTTTTCCTTTCCCTCGCCAGCAACCCCTCCCTCTCCCCCTCTAATCCCCTCAGCCGGACCCTCATCCTCCCTCTCCGACCCTGCTCCCCCTGCTCCAACCCCACCATAACCCGCCGCCGAAGCAGCTGCCGGGTCAGCAGCACTGGCTCCCGACCCTGGGCCGCAGGCTCGGGAATCCTCGGCCAGGTCCGGGAGGAGGGCGGCTGCGAGCAGATGCTGCAGGAGGGAGGCGTGGAGGCCATCTGGGCCGTACGATTGGACGATGCGGAGGAAGTAGAAGTGGCGGGGGAGGAGGAAGCGATCCACATGGGGGAGGAATGGAGGGGGGCGCATGGAAGATACTTTCAGGGGAGGGCTTTTCTGGGGAGGGTTTACATGAGGGAGGAATGGAGGAGGAGGAGGTGGGTGGGGGAGGGGAGAAGGATCTTGGAGTGAAGATGATTCGTGTGAGGAGGACGGATCGTGAGGGGGTGGAGTCTTTAGGGAGGGATCCGCTTGCACTTCTGCTAGCCTCCTCCGTTCCTTTGCAGAAGTAGTACTTGTCGCGATAGTACTGTTTTTGGTGCTGTCTATGCTGCTACTGCTGCTGCTGCTGCTGCTGCTGCTGCTGCTATTGCTGCTGCTGGTACCAGTGCTGTTACTGCTTCCGCCTTTGGCGCTGAAACCGTTGCTGTGCAACCCCTCTCGAAGGCAACCTAACCCCGCCTTGACGCCTCCCTCTTTCCCATTCTCACTCCTCCGTCTCGACCTCCTCTCCCCATCCCTCTCCCCACGCCTTTCCCCGGCCCCATTCACCAGCAGAATCTGCAGCACCTTCCCAAGGAAATGCGCCACGTTATTGGTCGACCCGTCCAGAAGCTGCAGATACGTTGAACCTGGACGCCACCAGGCTCTGCCTATCCGCTCCTGCAGCCACTCCATAGGCCGCTCCCCCCACTGCTTGTAGTGCGACTGCTTCACTATCATCTCAAACGGGTCATCTCCAAACGGGTATATGCCACAGGGCAGGGCGGTCAGGGGGCCGTCGGTTAGGGTTTTGTTCTCGGCGGCTGCTGAGTTGGCGGGCTGCGATTGGTCGCAAAACCAGTCAGTGACGTATTCCCGCTTCATTCTGCGTCTAGTATTGCTACCCGTTATATTGATACCTTTGTTATTGGTACCGCTGCTATTGCTTAACACAGCACCAGCACCACCGGCAACAGGGTCAGCAGCAGAAGCAGCAGCGGCAGCAGCAGCAGCAGGGGAGGAGGTGGCAGCAGCAGAGTCCGGAGTTTGAGCTGGTGGTTGGACAGGAGGTCTGAGAACGACCAGCTGGGTGCCGTTCCAGCAGAGCAGGCGACACACGCAGAGTACCTGCAGGCAACAGCAGCAGCAGCGAGAGAGAGAGAGAGAGAGAGAGAGAGAGAGAGAGAGAGAGAGAGAGAGAGAGAGAGAGAGAGAGAGAGAGAGAGAGAGAGAGAGAGAGAGAGAGAGAGAGAGCGAGAACAGATTCCAGGGATCAAGGTTGGTGGAATGACAGGGGGACTGGGCACAACCAGCTGGGTGCCGTTCCAGTAGAGCAGGCGGCACACGCAGAGCACCAGCAAGCAGCGGCAGGGAAGACGGGAGAGGAGAAACGGAGTCCGGGGATCGGGCTGACGGGGGTGCGGGTCTGTCTGAGCACCACCAGCTGGGTGCCGTTCCAGCAGAGCAGGCAGCACACGCAGAGCACCAGCAGACGCAGTTGCAGCGCAGGAGAGAGAGGAGAAACGGAATCTGAGAATCAAGCGTGGGGTGCCTTGGCTGAGCAGATCCGAGCGGCTGCGGCTGCTGCTGCTGACGCTGCTACCCTAAGACAGGACGAGGTAACCATGTGACGCATGTAAGCAGACGCACCTGCATGCAGCAGAAGCGGTTGGCCACGCGATAGCAGCGGCAACTGGTGCCTTGGCTGAGCAGATCCAAGCTGTTGCTGCTGCTGCTGCTGCTGTCGCTGCTGCTGCTGGTGCCGTTACGGCTGGCGCTGGTACTGCTGCTGCTACTTTCAGGTATGATTTGGTAGTTACCATTAGTGGTGTTCATCCATTCCCGATATAAGTCACTCGGTTCTAACTTCCTCCTCGTGTACTGATCCTCCATAAGAGGCAGCGGAGGCGGCTTGCTCAAAAGCGACAACCTTCGCCGCCCATTCCGCCCGAGCGAATCCGAATCCGACAAAACGCCTTGTTCTTCTGAACCGCGGCTCAAACTCTCTACAGGTTCCGAAATTCGTGGGTCCTGTACGAAATCGGGGGACTGCTGAGATTCGCGATGTTCGAGCCATTGTGAATAGCTTGGCAGAGGCAACGTTAGGGTTTGGGTCTGGAAGGCGGCGAAAACCAACAGCAAGATCCCTAGGTGACAGGCTCGGAGCGACAGATTGTAGAACCGCGGGGATGTATGGCAGCAGAGCGGACGGCGGAGCGTTAGAGCGGGCATGACACGTGAGCTCGTCGTGAGAATCGAAGAAAGAGCCGAAATTAGTGCGAACTAAAAATGACGATCTTGTTGAGAACGGCTGAATTCATTCATCATCGGATGGTTCTGGCAGGCGTCAAGAGAAACCCGCTATAGGCTTAAAGCCGTCACACATGGACAAGTAGCTGTAAGGAATGATATCTTACAATGACCCAATAAGCGCACACACCCATTATTTGAAAAGGGTGCGTGCTAGATCTTACAATGATTTGGGATTGAAATTCTCATCCACAGTCTCATTTCCTATGAATTTGCATGTTCTTGTTTGTAAAACAGGGATTGTGCTCACGTCGGTATATAAGGGATTGTGCCTAGAGAGTCTAATATAAATTAAAATAAACAAATTTGTTTTGTGTCTTATACTGGTATGTTATTTTTGAACGATAGTTACCCTTAATTTAAGCATCTCGGTTCTAGACTATTTACAACCTATTTGGTCTAGCCTTTACGTTTCAATTTGTTCGATCCTTGACAAGTACGCGTTTTAACGCGTTTCCGCATTTTCCGATATTACCCACTCGCTTCGCGAACCACCTTGGGGTTCGTTCGGAACGAGGCATCAGGTTCATGCGAGAGTTTGGCGGGATTTCTGCCTCAGTGATGGTGACGTTATCCTAAGCGGAGCGGAGGCCAGGTGGACAGAGAGATCCTTTGGCGGTTCCGCCAAGAGGACGCTCATCTTGTTGTGACTGGTGTGGTGTGACCGTCTGAGGTGACTGACTGACCGTCCTCTCCTCTTGCTTCAGTGGCCGTTTGTTTCACAGGACCAGCACAGGGAGGGAGATGCTGCGCTGTAACCTGTTCCCCCCCGTTGTTTCCCTGCGCAACGGTCTGCCCCTCCAGAGATGCTGTTCCCCCAGACGAGGGGCTGCCCCCGCTCGCAAAACTTGTTTCGTTTCCCGCAAGCACAAAAGGGCACCCGTCAGATCCGGGTATCTGGCCAAAGCTACCCGTCAGAATCCGTGTTCAGTACCCTGTTCTGTCAAAATTCACCCGTCAAATCCGAGTTTCACAGCCAGTTCTGCCAAAAGTCACCCATCAGAATCCGGGTTCAAACCCTGTTTTGGAAAAGTTACCCGTCAGAATCTGATTTCAGCAAAAATCTCTTTTTTTGCCTAAATCCGGGTAGTTACCTGTACAAAATACGCCCTGGTCCCCCTGGGTGAATCCGAAAGGGTCCGCTCCCCTCTCCCCTCCCCTCTCCTGCTTCCCCCCGCCCGTCTGACTCAGAATATGGTTTCCTTTTGCCCAAGATGCAGTCCGTCAGGCAGTCTCGAGAAGGGATTGTTTGGTTGATCTCGTCTGGTATGGTTTGTGAGAGAAATCGACGGTCGAATTCGTGAGCACTTGCTGTTGTGCGACAGACAGACACCCCCAAACGAAACCCCAACCTTCCCCCATCCCTTTTTTTGTGAGCATGTGCCACTCACGGTGGAGCATGAATCGTAACTTCCGTGATGAGAGAGACACGAATGCAGCGGAGGATGGGGTCAGCCCACCTGTCAGTGCTGCTGACCAAGTCACAGCCGCCGAGGGTTAGGCATCCACTGGGGGGTCTGGTTTGCGGATTTCCGCGCTCGCGCGGCATATCTGGCACCAACCAGAACCTCCTCACCACACCACACCTCCAGCTTTCTCCTCGGTTAGGGGATCATCCACACCTGCCGAAACCCCGACCAAGATGGGGTTCCAAACTCCAGAGGTTCCGTTGGTCCCATCGCGTTCGCTCTGTAATATCTTTCGGTTATTCGAGCTTTGGTTGCTCATTTCTTCTAGGAGCTCCTTAGTTCGATCACTCCGTCCTGTCACCTCGCTAGTGACCCAGGATAACAAGTTCTTTAGTACGTTCTGCAGCCATGGTTTCAGATGCGGAAATCGTTCGTAGACTCCGCGAGATCTTAAACGAGGCGGATCTTGATGTGACGACAGAAAAGAGCATCCGCATGCAATTAGAGCGAGAGTATAACATCGACTTATCGGAACGGAAGAAATTTATCCGACAAGAAGTTCAAACATATCTGAACGAGAGACCTGCGTACGATGACGATGCTGGTCAGGAAGAGGAGGAGCCCCAACATGAGGAGCCTCATAAGCCTACTAGAAAACGCAAGGCCGCGAAGCTCACGAAGGATGGGTACGTGCTACAAATTTCTCGTGTTCTGCATCTTTTGGTTCAATTCAACAAACTGAAGGTCGCCCGTTGGTCCATTGCAGAAAAGAGCCGAAGAAGCGTACGGGTGGTGGTTTGATGAAAGTATGCGGCCTTTCTGACGAGTTGGCTGCCCTCTTGGGAGCTCGAGAAATGCCACGAACAGACGTGAGTTTTCAGACCGCGTGTCTCTATCCTGTTTGCTTCGTTCTTTGCGGAAGAGCTAACGTGACTTCGTCTTTCGTTGGCAGGTGGTTAAGGGCATCTGGAATTACATCAGAGAGCATAATCTTCAAGATCCGGCAAATAAGAGGATTATCCGCTGCGATGGACCTCTAGGTCATCTGCTGGGTACAGAGGTCACTGACATGTTTCAGTTGAACAAACTACTGACGTGTCACATCAAGTCACTCCCTGGTCCAAACGGTTAGTCTCCCGACTAAAGCTCCGACATGCTGCTTCTCATTTTTGCCTGCTATATTCATCCTGAAGGAACCCCAGAAGTGTACTTGAACCTATCATGTCCGCTTGTGCAGGAGAAATGCCTCAACCAAAGAAGCCGAAAGCTGAACCGGGCGCGGGGGGTTCAAGAGGAGCATTTGCGCAACCGCTTCCAATGTCCCCTCAATTAATAAGGTTTCTAAATTGTGGAGAGACTGAGCTGCCCAGATCTGAGGTGGTCAAACGCGTGTGGGCTTATATCAAGGAGCATGACCTTCAGGTATTTTCCCCATTCCGTGGAGTATCCATCCTTCAGTTACTTCTGTGAAGAGTGAGCACTCACGTTAGCTTCTGACTTGTCAACGTGTTGCAGGATCCATCAAATAAGAGGAACATCTTGTGTGATCCGCCAATGAAGGAGATGTTTGGGGTGGATAACTTTGTTGGTTTCTTGATGACCAAGCTCTTGTCGCCACACTTTATCAAGGCAACTCCACCATCCCATGACCAGCCTGCTGAGGACTCGCCTGGAGATTCTGGTGATGGAGGACATGCATATTGAGTAGCCATGTTGTACTGAAATTGACAGTTAATTTTGACAGGTTGTAAAAGTGAACCACCTGTTTAGGGTGGTCAGGAATCCTGAATCTGAAACAGGATTCTATTTATCAGACTTTTTTTGTCTGATTTTCTGAATCTGGAAACTGCAACTCCTATTATGAAGACACGTTGTGTATGAAGTTTTACATAACTTTTTAGTTTGTGCAAGAAGTACATAGTAAAGTGTTCCGATTTCTTGAAAATCTGTCTGAAGCCACAATTTCGGGTTTGCAAATCAGACGCTCAGACAAAAAAAGTCTGATAAATAGAACCCTGGTCAGAATATAGAGTTGCATGCAGACTTCACACCTTGTATTGGAAATGCTCGAAATGATAAGGATAGTAATAGTAATGTATCAGACAGACACATTTAAAAGCTAAGAAGTATCTATTCGGAATTTACCTGTTCGTAGTGTATCACGACTATTCGCGTGACATGGCTAGTGACCGTCCGTGTGACTGAGAGTGGCGTGACCCTTCGGGTGACTATACGTGCGAACCTACTGTTCACGCGTTGACTCGCTACTGCTGACGTCATCACGCGCGTACTTCCATATGAGGTATCGCGCTACTAGTACAGTCTAGGTAAAATATCAGGAATGCATAAGTAAACTCTGTCGAGAATACTTCAACACTCCCCTTCATTCCTGGGTGTATGTCTCTGGGTAATTGTCGCTGCATTTGCAGATTCTAACCAGGTTGGAGCAGTACTGAAACTTGTCGCATGGGATTTTCTGTTAAAACTATATATTTTATTTATAAATTTATGTAGGCTTGGTAGGTCTTCTATAGATTGTGGATCCTACTGTACAGGGTATAACCCTCCCTCTTGTCTCTCTCTCTCTCTCTCTCTCTCTCTCTCTCTCTCTCTCTCTCTCTCTCTCTCTCTCTCTCTCTCTCTCTCTCTCTCTCTCTTCCTAGTCCCATTTCTTTTCTCTCATCAACTTCTATCCCTAGCTAAAACCTCGACATTCCTAAGGCCTACTGTAGCTACCTAGTGTGTGTGCTGTGTGTGTGGTGTGCTTTCAACTACCAAGCCTAGGGGGTGTGTTAAATTATATGTTATACACATATATAATTGTAGGCTTCGTATATATTACTGGACCCTACTGTAGAGGGTACAACCCCCCTTCTTGTATCCCTCTCTCTTCTAGTCCAAGCCTCTCTTCTCTCTCAATATTTTCTCCTAGCCTAAACCCTCTCGTCATTTTCATGGCTCCTCTCCTTCACTAGTACTTTAACACCTACCGTATTCTCCCGGATATAGTACCCTAGGGAGCTAATAAAAATTCATGAAAATTTTGGGGTGGGTGGAATTAAAGGCAAAAAAAATATAACACCATGGTTCTATGGAACGTGCATATTGGTTTTCCAATTGCAAAATGTTTCTGCTTGTTACACCACTTTGTACTGAGTCACATATCGACATCCTGTGACCGCATCGCGTAACTGACGATGTGGTCCATATACAAGCCACGTCGTTGACTGAACCAGCTGAGTCACGGAAAATGCTGGCAAATCAGCCAATGAACGCGTGCCGCAGGCCTCATCCTAGCTGCTTCCATGCAGCGCTGTGCCATCACAGCGTTGCTTGACGACATCCAAGAGGAGCTTCCATTCAGGGCCCACCCACGACCGTCCATCGCACAACAGAGGCAGCTGGACGCTCGTGAAGGGGCTGTTCGTGATCGATAGGGACGAGGTGTCGCGCACGTCCCTTCCTTCCCCTCCATCCCGTTCTTGAAGTGGGTCTACCTGAACTTTTTGTGTCATTTCGCCATTCAGCAGCAGAATGCCTACAAGACAGCCCCTGCAAGGGCTGTCTCAGGCACCCCACTCGGTTTCTGTTAGAAGCTCCCGCCAAGGCGTATGGCACAGGCATGTCGCGTGTGCTATCTCAGAGAGGCCCTTACGGTCAGCAGACATTCTTCCACTGTCCCTCCCGCCCGACAGTATCGTCGCCCTCTCGGAGCCCAAGTCGCACGTCTGGCGAGGGCGACAACACCGCCACAGACTCAGCGACCGACGCGACGGAGGGTCGGCGTCCCTTGCCCCGTGTCACTGTGCCAAGCTTCCCCGTGCCTGTCCGCCGTCCAAATGGCCCGACTGTCAACCATGAAGCGAACCCCCCCTCTCCCCGAAGCAGGATGACGAAGCGGAAACGCCGCTCGTACAGCGCTTCGGAGAAACTATACTGGTTAGGAATGTTTGACTCTCAGCCTGACCTCTCCATCCGTTCGTTGGCCAAGCTCGCAGGTGTGCAGCCTGTCATGATTGGAGAGTGGAAGAAGGCACGGGAGAGACTCCGTGTCGCTGCAAGCTGTCGAAAGCGGCTCGTTGGCGCAGGTCGTCCGGCGAAGTTCCCGACGATGGAAGCGGCTCTCTACCGTCAGTTTTCACGTCATCGAGGGAAGGGCCTGGTTGTCTCCGTGAAGCTTCTGCAGAAGTGGAGCCGCTCGTACATGAGGGCACGCCATCTTGATGTTGACTGGCGCGCGTCTGCCCGCTGGACCTTCAGATTCCGCGCGCGATTTGGGCTGATACGACGTGTGAAGACGAAGATGGGGCAGAAGCTCGCCGATGGTTCGCTTGCTTTCCCATCTCGCCAATCCTGTTGAATAGTGCATGTTTGTTTTACGACATTTCTCGACTAATTCTCTATCTTTATTTTTGTCTAATGCAGACATGCGGGAGAAAGTCCACAAGTTCTGGGAATTCGTCAAGCAAATGCGACTGCTCAACGGCTACAATCTCGACCTCATTGTCAATGCGGATCAAACTCCGCTTTTCATCGAGATGCCGCGGGAAAGGACCTTGGAGCACAAAGGTTCGCGGACAGTACACGTGAGGACCGCCGGGTACGAGAAAGAGCGGTTGGCCGTCATGTTGGCGGTCACAGCCTCAGGAATGAAACTCCCGCCATATGTCATCTTCAAACGGAAGACCCTGCCGAAGATTCTGGTTCCCCCAGGTAGGAATTCTAAACTCAGGCGGATTCCTTGATTGCTCCACACCGTCGTCTATTGACTGACTCTCTGCCTGTGGTGTTTGGGTCCATGCAGGTGTCATCATCCGAGCCCAGCATAAGGGCTGGATGGACGACAAGCTAGTCCAAGACTGGACTACTCAAGTCCTGAATCCCTTCCTTCGGCCGCTGCGCGAAGCCGGCAACAGGCGCAAGGATGCGCTTGTCATCCTCGACTCCTACAAGGGGCACCTCACAGAGGCGGTTGGACAAACGATGAAGTTGTGCAAGCTGACGCGTGCAGTCATCCCTGGCGGCTGCACGCCTCTCGTGCAGCCGCTGGATGTCGCAATCAACAAGAGCTTCAAAGCTGGTGTGCGTAGCGACTACGGCACCTGGTTCGAGGAGTTCGGCATCGACCTCAAAACAGCAGCAGGTGAACCCACTTCATGTTCATGCTGCTTCGTTTAATGCTTCGTACACTAATCTGAACATTGTTAATGTTATTCATCGCTTTCTAAACGCTGACTTGTTGCCGTTGACCGCCACCGCTCCCTCTACAGGAAATCTGAAAAAACCCCCAGCGGAGCTCATTCTCAAATGGATTGCACGGTCATGGGCGGCAGTTCCGGAGGAGCTCATACGGAATTCGTTCAAGACCTGTGGGATCTCGAACGCGTTGGATGGCTCCGAGGACAAGTTGGCTCTCTGTCACCTCCGCGAGAAGCCGGGCGTGGAAGTCATGGACGACGTCCATGTTCAAGAGGGTGAGAGTGATTACGTAAACCCTCTGTATGACCGCACGATCGACATCAACGAGGACTTAGCCGGCGACGAGGAGCATGACGCCGCGGCGGCAGCAGAAGCTGATGGCGACATGGATGAAGCGGCAGTAGCAGAGGATGCCGACCTCTCTACAGCAGAGGCAGATACAGCAGCAGAAGCAAAACGAGCTGAAGACAGTGTGGAGTGGCCGGCTGAAGGCATTGCTGAAGAGGATGATAACAGCCACTGGTGGGATGAGCTGGCAGATGGGAGTGATGTTGAGGAGTGGCATGCTGGCGACGATGAAGATGATGACGAGGACGACTAGAGCACGTGGCATAGGCAGTAGCAGCATGAGCTAGAGTAGTGGTAGCTTGTCTTGTGGTCCCCTTATATAGCTCTAGGACATCCAAGCAGGCTTAGGTTGTTTAGCTAACCTCTAATTCCTGATTGTTTAGTGAAAATTGACTGGAATGTAGTGCCCCGTTTCGGGGGAGGGTGTTTAATTGTTTTCAACCCCAAAAGTAGGGTGGTAACTAGATCCAGTTTAATTAAACACCCATACCCGCTCAAGCCACCCGTGGGAGCTTAATTCCGGCGGGTACTGTATCCGGGAGAATACGGTAGTTAGCTCTTTCTAAAATGGTTTCAGAGCAGGAGGTCCGTCCTGCTGGGTCGTCTCATCACGCTTCCACAGCGTACTCTCCCCCCTCCCGTCACTTTCGCGCCACCGTGGCGGCTATGTCGTGCTGCCATGGCGGCTTCGTCGTGCTGCCGTGGAAGCCTCGACGCGCTGCCGTGGCTTCGACGCCACGCCGTGGCGGCGTCGTCGTGCTGCCGTGGCAGCCTCGACGTGCTGCCGTGGCATTGACGCCACGCCATGGCGGCTTTGTCGTGCTGCCGTGGCGGCGTCGGCGCGTCAACGCAGGGGCGTCAGCGGGCCGCGCACCGGTTTAGGTGCCAGCCATGACGCCAGCATGCCAGCCAGTGCGCCAGCGCAGGCGCCTTGCTGCACACCCCCCCCCCCCCTCCCCCCATGCGTCTCCCCTTACTCCAGCCGCAGCTGCTGACTTAATACCCGGTCGTGGCCGGGCCGTGCCATGACGCCGGGTGCCGCGAGCTTCGCAGTCGAAGCCTCCGCCGCCGATGTCGTCTTAGAAGCCGCCGCTGACGCCGTTGCTGCCACCCGTCGCCGCTTCGCACGAGGGGTTGAAGCCACACCTGCTGCATGGCATGGGGGTGCACGGGTTTGGGGGTGTTGCGTGTTGGGTGGGCTTGTGACTACCAAGCCTAGGGGGTGTGTTAAAATTATATCTTTAATTTATAAATTTGTGTAGGCTTGGTAGGTGTTCTACAGATTGTGGATCCTACTGTAGACGGTATAACCAACCTTCTTGTATCTCTCTCTCTTCCTAGTCCAATCT